GCTGTTCAAGAACGGGATTGACTTTTTTTTTTCTTGTTCAGAAGGCCATTTATGCATTCTAAGTATCTGAACTCAAAACTAGTCCAACACTAACCAGATGGTTGTGTCCAATGTTATTTGGAACAGTTTTTAAATTAACAGGATCAGCTGTGTATTCAGAAAACTGAGGGTATGCAGGTCATAAGTCTTCAATTCTTAATGTTGCCAAGTTCATGACCTGATCCTGAGCAGTACTGAACTACCTCTTCCTTGCCTTGAAACGAGGGATTAGAGGCTAGAGGGAGTCTTAAATGATCAGCACTTCCCAGGATCAGTTCTTAATTTTCCACTCTGCTTGTTCATACTTCATGTGCAGTTGATTAAGGTTTGTGAATTTGGACATTAGACATGCTGTTGCACTGAAATATATACTTTTTTAAATTGCGGTCCCCATTTCCCTGTTTAATCTCTCTGTACACAAGGTATACAAGGTATATGCTGTATAAGTGGCCTTCTTGAACAAATCTCTTTGCAGACTGATTTCATCCCAGCGAAGGAGTGTATCAGCAACACTGTACATTAATTTCAGGTTTTCATTTTCTTATTTTATTTTGTAAATATATCTGATATTTGGAGCTTGAGTATACAAAATGTAAATATAGTTCATGTATTTGTACTAATTCTGATCCATTTGCTGTATAGCCTTAGGTGTGCAATGCAGATATCTTAACTGTGTATGGTAACCTTGCACCACTGAATTGTTAGTGAACGAGGTGAAACAATAAAGGTACAACCAGTGCATTAGCAGATACAATGTGGGCTCCTTTTATTATGATTTAATTACTAGTATCTTACACAGAAAACCTGTCCTGAAAGAGCTTATGCTTTTGTGAAAAGCAATTTCTTGGCTGCTCTTGAGAAAGATGGGAGGCCCTTAATATCCTTCCTCATCCTTTTCCCTTTGGTATGTTGTTACGCAGCATTTCCAAGGAGGTTTTAAATGCTTTCAAGAGATTCTTTTGCTTGAAAGATAAAATAAGGTTGTCGTAGTGCTGCCAATACCAAACTTGCTTATCAGGGGGTGACCGTTAAAAATGGCAGGAAGCGTGTGAAATCAAACCACTGAAACGTAACAGCAAAGTGTAAGGCACCAGCTCCGTGGGCAAAGATGTGCCAGGGATTCCCTGAGAATCGCTCTCGCCTTGGATGGAAAATGGAAAGTTCTTTGTAGCTTTTAAAGTCATGGTGAGGGAACTGGATGGGGCATTCCCAACGCATTTAAGCCCCACAAAACTGGGCCACCACTCGCTGTCAAACACCTCGCATAACTGTTCCATCCAAGCACCATCCAAGGAGCTGCTTGATGGCAAAATACTTTTATCAGGCTGCTGGCCAGATCTGTTCTTTTATCTGAAAAGCTCAATGGATGTCGTCTTGCTTCTTGCTGCTGCTGAGTCTTTATTTGTTTTCAGTGTTAACTTATTCAGGTTGCTCCTCTGACAGCTTATTTACTACTTCAGAGAAGCCACTGTCTGTTCTCCTGCTTCCAGATGCATTTCGCTCTCAATGCCCAAAAATAAGGTGGACCAGAAACTTGCTGGGTCAGTTTGCTGCCAGCCTTCGTGTTCAGAATGTGCCTTTAATAGAAAGGAAACATGGCTAAAAGGGAGCTTTGTCCTGGTGCTGGAACAAAGGTAGGACAGCAGCTGCCTGCTCTTAAACCCAGCTGTAACCCTGACGCTGCCAGCTGGCCCCCTTGCCTCAGGTTTCTTTTGCCCAAATTCTAGGCCGCCGCAAAGACAAAGCGGTAGCTGTGCTGTCCGAGGTGGTGGCTGCAGCCGAGGGAGATGTTTCAGCAGCTGGGTAATGAAAGGAGAGAAAAGAAGCCAGGCTCTACCCCCGCGG